CCTGTCCCAACGTTTTTGGAATGTGTAGCTCCCATGAAATCCAAGATGAGCCAATATTTGGCATGACATTTCAAAATGTCTCACTTTCAACATTTGATATGTTATCTATATTCTATTCTGAATAAAATACTGGAATTTCAACCTTCCACATCATTGCATTCTGTGTTTATTCACATTTTGTACAGTGTCCCAACTTTTTTGGAATCGGGTTTGTAATTGGTTAATACATTTAATGTACTACTGGAATTTTGCACATAATAAGCTCGCTTTCTGAATATCGGCTTCTGCCAAAAAAGTCTCTTAAAAAGGGATTTATTTTTGTAAGGTGGATAAATAATTCTAATCTGTACGTAGCTTGTTTACATCAACATTTTAGCTGTGTGTAGACAAAGCCATAATCATAAACCAAATTACAATGCAAGGTTGTATTTAAGTGACAACACCAATTATTTGGTCATGATTCATTTGCGAGATTCAGTACAGATACGGATACAATTAAAATTATGGCAGTTTTGCTTCCATATATGCTTCTACTGTTGCACTTTTGCTAGCTGTAACTACAGCAGTAGTGCCAGTGCTGACCAACCTGACTGCTGCTGAGTAGGCAGGATGACTTGCGGGGCCTGTGCTGGCTGGGTCACCTGCTGGACTTGCTGGACCTGCTGAATGTTGCTGCTGCAGTGCAGCCTGCAGAGCTGCCTGCTCCTCAGTATGGAACCCCTCCACTGCCTTGGATTGCAGCAGCTTGTTCTCCCACAGCTGTGGCCACAGGCAGAAAAAGAAGAGTGGCAGAAAGGCATCATTTGTTAGGTTCTGCCTTTGACTTAATGTGTTGCAAAAGAAGGCTTACTTTTTGGACAATGAGCAAAGTTTTTGCTGACAATCTTTTGGGAATTGATTTAATATTACTGTCTGACATCTATATGGATGATACATCACCATATATGCAAAAGTGAAACCAAAATAACAAGCACTGCAGCTGCCAGCTTGGTGTTTAGCAACCAGACCCACGCAGTAGTGACCACAAGTGAAGTGACAGCATCAGACCGCCAATCAAAGCTATCAAATCATCTCAAATGCACTTGTTTTTATATCAAATACTTTAAAAAAAAACCTTAATAGAAAAAAAAAACACTTGTACAGACATCAGCGTGATGTTATCTACCAAATAAAATAGAAATCACCTCTGGGGAAGATGTATTTGATTTGTACTTTGAATAGTGGATTTAGGATTTATGACCTATATTGCGACCAGCCACCAGGGGGCGATCAACTCAGTGGTTTTACTTCTGGGAGCTGTCATGATGCCAATCTTTTATACAGTCAATGGCAGGAACATAAGACTAACCCATTTCAATTAAAATTTGAGGTAATACTTCGATTAAGAAAATAAATTTATCAAAGGTGCTCTTGAGGCAGATGACAAATGAAAGGAAAAAAACCAACATAAGTGTCTTAGTATGGTGTTGGGGCACCATGTCACCAAAACGGCTTCAGTGTGCCCCGGTCAGTCCAAAATCTCCCACAGGTGTTCAACTGGGTTGTGATCTGGTGACTGTAAAGGCCATAGCATATGATTCATATCATTTTCATATTCATCAGACCATTCAGTGACCCCTCGGAGCACTGGCATCCTGGAAGAGACCACTCCCATCAGGATAGAAATGTTTCATCATAGAATAAAAGTGATTTTCCACTCATTTAATCTGGTTTTTACTTTGTCACCTTTCTGTACTTTGTCTGGGAAAAGCTTGAAAACAACTTCTTATGTGATGCGGAGGAAGACGTTAAAGAGCTTTTAGTGGGTACACAAGAAGAACACTAATGAAGTTTACCGTCTTCAGCTCCAGAAGCACCTGCTCATCCACACCCTCATCCAGGAACAGCTCTCGCACCTCGTTGATCACATCATCAATCACAGACTTATACAGTTTAGGCTATGAGGAAGCAAACACAAAAGAAACTTGTTTTTTCTGATTGAGACAATAGACCCTCAAATACTGTATGGAAAACATACATATACCTAGTATGACCAGTGTTTTCTAATTCAGAACTACTTTTACATGGAAATTGTGGTATTTAAAAATAATTCAGCTGTTTAACTGCTGTCTTTAATAGGAATTCACCGTCCTCACTGCTGCAATAACAGCATTATAACCTTTCAACCTGTGTGCTACTAGAACAAATTAAATTATCTTCCAAAATATGCATAAAGTAGTAAAGATGTGGAAAAATATGCTATGCAGCTCAACTTTAAAACTGGTTCCCTGCAATTAAATCCCTAGGATTCAGCTATAACGCATGCTTGGCATTTGTCTGGCTTCCTGTTCTATTTGAACCAGGCTTTTGATGCTAATCCATATGAACTAGGTCTCTAGGGATACCGTTTCATGCATGGCCAACACAACAAGTGCATACCAATTAAAGGTCTAAAGCAGCAGGGCGGTCGCATTTCAACACAAGAACACAGAGGTACAATGTAAACCTAAGCGACACACATACAGGACACGTAGGCCATCGCACCGCATTGTCCGCAGCACGGACCTCAGTCTCTCCTCTCTCTCGGCCCGTCTACTCCGCCACTATTTAAAGCACAGTCTGGTGTTTATATGTAGAGTCGGTGACGTAACGTCGGGTAGCACCTTCCCATCCCGGCAGTCTATATTAGAGAGCCAATATGGCGGTATAAAACCAGGCAGCGGAAAGGAGGAGGGTCAGAAGCGGAGAGCGGGCAGACGTGGAAGCCATTTTACGGAGCGGCAAACTGCGCGCTCGACAGCCTCGTACTCTGACCATTATGTAGCGGAATGTGAAGGACATTTTCTGTGAAATATCTAAACAGTGTTTAGTTTTGACTTGGCAGTATGGCCTTGTCGGTAGGGAGCAGGACACATTTGACGTGAGTTGTGTAAAAGTGGTGGTTTGGGGCGGCTATCGTGCCATCTGCTCGTGGAATGGTGGACAGTGATGAGGCATTTGACAGAGCCTTGACAATTTTCGGCTAACGAGACTTTAATTTTTCAAAACAAACAAACAAAAAAAACTTAGTTCTAATTCGTTAGCAGGGGATGATGGCAATGTGCTTTGCATACATTTGTTTTTGATACACTATGCAAATTAGCTTAGATTTACCATTTGTCCTTTTATAACCGCAATCGACACAGTACTTCAACCTTTCACTAAACAGTACAAACGTCAAATACCAGTAAGTCATACTTTAATTTAATTTAGCCACAATCAGGAACCACCTAACAGCCAACTCACAAGAGCTTAAATCTCACGAACAGTCCGTAATTTACATCTTAACTGTAGTTTTACCATTGACCCTGAACACCATCTCTACGTATTTTATCATTTTTTGCGAGACGCAGCTCCTCTTATTTAACATACTCCTACCATGTGCTCATCATATAAAACTAATGTTACCCAGTTTAGAAAACTGATTTAAAATAGCCGACTGGCTGAAATTTGGTCTTTAATTTAATTTCAGTTAACAGTGACGTGTTTGTTAAAGCAGATTCATTAAACGGAATGAAATACCAGTTGGCCGACTGCTCCTTATCAACTTCACCCACATTTTCCCCGCTGACAATCCTGAGAGATTGATCCTTACCACTGGGTTCGAGTTAGCCGAGCTCGCCATTATTCGCGTAGTGTAAAAACCACACGGAAATAGGCGAGAAACAGAGCCAAAAATTACGAAAAACAAACTAAGATGACCGGGAACAATATCTTAAAACAGCCGGCATCGCGTTTGTAAATAAAACACAGTTTAAGCGGTCTTATTTACAATCCCGGGCTGCGATTTCCCAGCCGTCCTCCTCCGTCGTTGTTCAGCTTTATATACCGAGTGATGGAGCTGCGAATGCGCGAGACATAGGGCAGGGTCAAACCGCACATAACGCGAGATCTCGTGCGGACAAATTATGCTGACCAATCGATACAGTTGCTGCTGGGAAATGTAGTTTAAATCCGTCCACTGGCAATGCTCAATGATCTCGTTTACTGAATTAAGTCTTTGTAAATATTAGGACGCATATAACGAATTAATCACAACCTTTTAGGAGCAATAGTCTACCTTCCACACATCGAGAGGCTAAATATAGATCATATTAGTGGCATAAAAATTATTTTATAATAACTGAAAAGTAGACATATATGTACTGTATATAAAAAGAAAAACTAAATATTAACAGGTTAAGCTACATACTGGTAGTCTAAATCAGAAATTTAAAGGAAAAGACATTTATATTTTAAAGTCACTTTATCCTTTTCACAATTGCCTTTTCTGTAGCATCAGGCTTTTGGGAGATGGCACATGTTTTTTTTATTTATTCTTTTTTATAGGTTTACATTCAGACATTATTACTTCAAATGAGCTATCTCCTACTTTCTTTGAGTGTTTAAACGTTTTTGTTTGTTTCTTTGTTTTGTTTACACTTGATGTTAGTGATCAGGCTTGAAAACTTTGAAACGCCATTGTTATCATTACTCTGGTGACTAGTGCTGAGTTACTAAGTATATTTCCTCAAGTAACCTACATTTCCTGCACTTAAGTAGCCTATTATTTTAAAGTACCTGTTAATCTCCTTTAATCTGTAGGTATCAGTACCTTATTTTAATTTATGTAGCAGTGAAATTCAATTATATTAATAGTGACAGCAGCCATAGTGGATACCATTTGTCTACCTTTACTTAATTGAGATTTAAAATGCAATACCTTTACTTTTTAAAAAATGTAATTAATTTTACCCGGGAGTGTTACTACTTTTACTGATGGACCTGAATAGGTTTTCCACCACTAGTCCAAACTTTAATAGCAAATTGTAGATGTGTAAAATGCTTTGTTGGTTTACAAGCACAGTACCTAGCATTGACTGATTTGATGAAAAGCATCATTTCCACCCCCTGAGAAGCTGCATGACTAGTCTGATAATGATTAAACTCAGAGGGAAAG